CCTTCAGCTTCCCCGGCATCTTCCTCCGCCTCCCCCCGCCTGCAGGGAGAAAACAACAGCGCGGGGCCCATGGAGCGGCACGGCACGGCACGGCACCGGGGAGGGGTGGGGACGGACGGGGCGGGGCGGCGGGGGAGCTGCCGCGCATGCGCCGGGGCGAGCAGCGGTCTGTGGCTTCCCGCCCGCTCCTGCCGGTGCTGCCCGGGCCCAATCGTCGCAGCGGCAGCAGGCAACGGCTGGCAGGACGTCCTGCGCTACTTACGGGGTCCCCACGGCAAAGCGGCCGGCGGAGAGGGCGTAGGGAGCCCGCGGTCCGCCCCCCCCCCCCCTCCACCTCCTCCCGCTGAGCGGGGCGCCCCGCCCCGCCGCCAAGATGGCGCCGCGGGCACGGAGAGCCCGCTGGAAGTCGAACGCCGACTCCTCGATGGGTTCGGCGCTAGCGCTGCCGCAGCGCTTGCAAGGCAAGCTAGGGCGCTGCGAGCGCCGAGTCATCGATGTCCGGGACTGCGGCGCCGGGGGCAGGAGGCCTGAGGCGGCGGTGGGACGGGACGGGAAGGGACGGGACCGCCTCCATCCCGCTGGCAGCCGGGACGGCACCGCGCCGTTCTTCAGCTCCCAACCGGCTTTTTGTTTGTGGGGCTCGCAGCCTAGTGTCGCCTTTAGGCGCGCCTGGCCCTCGGGCTGGCCTGCTCTCTTCCCCCCCCTCCGGGGCCTGCTCTCTCCCGCCCCCGGGGCCTGCTCTGCCCCCGGCCTTCCTCCAGGAAGGATCTTGGGCTTGAGGGCCCGTCCAAGGGGAGGTGTGGAACATGTGTGCATCTCCTGTCGCACGGTGGGAGAGTCCTATAAAGGATTTAAGCCAAAACCCCGTGGGTTTGAGGGTTTGTTTCTTAATCACAGACCAATATTTGCAGTATTTGGGGGATTATGAATAGATTAAATGGAATTTAGTTATCAGAAATAGGATTTGATACGGTTCTCGTAGCCAGGTTTTGACTTCTTGATGCCTGAAAAGCTCTTTGTTGAGGAAATAGCGCTGTGGAGAGTTGGGGGGAGCCAAAGGAGCGGGGCTGGCGGGAGTTACAGGTGTGTCCCTTGTGTTATGTGAGAATCTGTGGGTCATGGGTTGTCCCGCTGGCATGGTCAGGAGCAGGGCTATAAAAGAACCTTTGTGTTTCCGTTAAGCAGTCCCCAGATGTTGAGCCAAATAGTAGATCTGGTTGGATTATTTTCCCTTCTTTCTAATCTTACAAAAAGACTAAATAATGTTGTGGGCTAGAGTGTGATACTGCAAACACACACCATATGAATGAAATACAGTAGTGTGTGGCGTATGAAATTAATGTATGGAAGATTTTTGCTTATCTTTCTTCCAGCTAGCTGTATTTAGGCTCATTAATATGGCACTTCCTCACTTTAGCTTGCCTTGAAGTTATCTTTGGAACAGTTTGTCCTGTTGCTAGTATTCATCATATCAGAGTTAATGATAAAACAGGCTAGGTGTGTGTTTCCTCCTCATCCATCCTTGTTTGAGTGGCATGAAACTGCTCCTGAGGCAGGATAGCAGTGAAGAGCAGAGACCCAGGAAGCAAATCAAAACCAGAGAACATGCTACTAACGTTAGGGTTTTAGTTTAGACCAAAACCACTTTTTTTTTTTTTTTTTAATGGAATCTCCTGATCTCACCTGCTTAAATGTTGTTTTGGCTCAGGTGATTGAACAGAATATTTATTTTGGATAAGACTAAACTGAAAAGGGTAAGCTAGCAATGCATTCTAGCTGTCTAAGGGCTTTTGGGCTGTGGCAGCAAATTAAAGGTGGCATGAAATTAAACCCCCTGAATTGCCCGTGGTGTGGGTGCTTGGTCCTCAGCACTGTTGCAGCAAATTAAAGGTGGTATGAAATTAAACCCCCTGAATTGCCCGTGGTGTGGGTGCTTGGTCCTCAGCACTGTTGCAGCAAATTAAAGGTGGTATGAAATTAAACCCCCTGAATTGCCTGTGGTGTGGGTGCTTGGTCCTCAGCACTGTTGCACCTGAAAGACGGGCCATCGATCCACTACGTTACTTGTTAACATAACCATTCCTGTCTCTTCACTACCCTATTACAGTAGAAAACTACCAGCAGAAGATGGGACTACAAAAAGCCATTTTCTGTTGCCCATATTAGATAGAGCATTGTTTGGCCTTGGCTAATTGATGGTGTACTGCTTTATAGCCCAAGATTTCAGGAGTGTAAAATAACTTCTTGACTACAAACAAGTGAAAACAGTGTTAGGAAACACTGCGTGGTTACTGTAATTTTACAGTGTGTTTTGTGATATGTAGGAAACTTTTTTTCAGCTTTTAAGAACATGAATCCTTGAAAAAAAAAAAATTCTTTAATTTGGAAGAGGAATTTCTGGCCCATTGATAAAAAGAAACTGCCTTGTATAAGCAAAAGGATACAAATGTAGTTTAGCTCTGTCTTGTTAGAGATGGGTAGGTGGCTCTACCAAACATGTTTCTTGTGCTAAGGTCTTCCTAAACCCCTCTTTGGTCACTGAACACACCAAACAAAACTCTGGAACTCTTTACTGTTCACTGAAAATTGGACAATTTGCCTGACTAATGAGGAGTTAATACAGTGAATACCTGGCTAACTGTACATGCAATGGCTACAATTTGGGACACTCCTTAAACAATTTAAGCATTATTGTACCAGATGCTTGCTGCTAAAGAAACATTTAAGAGAACATCTGTCATGGTAAGCTCTTCCAGGCAGCAGTCCTGACTCTTAAAAACCTCTATAATCTTCCCAGACAATCCACCTCAATGTTTCTTATTCTCAAACGTTTTAAAAAAATATTTTTTTCCTAAAGTTAAAACTGGAGGTGTGGGGGTGATGTGATGCAGTACAAATCTGTTCTTGTCTTATCCACTGAACCTGGAGGACGGATTATCCCCTTAGAGGTATTAGAAGTCTCTTACTGGATTAGACTGGCAATAACTGGTACATACTCTTAGGTAATTGTTTTGTTTAATGTATAGCATCTGGGCCAATGGGGTCCACAGGTTAACTACCTGCTTTGGAAAATTTATATCCTTTTTGGTTTTTACAAATCGATTTTATGTGTGGACTCCCATCTCTTACATTATGAGAGAGAAGGGAGAATTGTTCTATTTATTCATGCAATTATTTTTTTTTAAATGAACTTACCATCTATCTTTTATTTTTAATTGTTTGAAATAACTAATTTTTCCATTCTTCCTTCATGGGTCTTTTTTTCATACCTCTGAACATTATTTTTATTTCCACCTGAAGACTCTCTGAAGAATGTTTTTCTTAAAGCGTAGTACCTCAAACAGGAAATAAAGTTCCAGGGCAGCTTTACCAGTGTTGCCTAGTGAATGTCTCCTTCTCTCTGGGGTTATAAAATACAGGGATTAATGCAATGCTCCACCTAGGTTTACATTTTCCTTAGGATGACAGAATAGCCCTTTTGCCCACACTCATTAAATTGTGCAGCATCTGCAAAACACTTCTGCACAGGCGTGAGTCCCTCGATGGTCATTTGGGTAGGGATACTCTTCCTCACACTGTTCTTTTAAGGTATTGAGTCATCTCAGGACAGTAAAAGTGTACTGTAAGTTTGCCAGCTTCTTGGAGGTGATAAGGATGTTCCTTGAAGCAGCCACAGCTCTGTCCTAATTGGTATAGAAGTGCATACTTTGACATAGGAGAGAACCTTGAGATGATTAACTACTTTTTGTTGTCCCACCCTTATCACTATCAGCTCGGTGTGTGATTTTTTTTCACAGGGTAAGAAGGTTTGTAGGAAGCAAACAACGTTTAATGAGTGTATGGTTATAAGCAAACCAGAGGCCTGTCTTTGGTAACAGCACTAGAATATATAAAATATTGAAGGTGTCTAAAACAGCCTTAGGTTTCCCTCTGTTTTAGGCAACTGATGTTC